TCTTTATATGTAGAAATATTTTGCTTGATCAATGTTGTTCATTTGTTTGATTATTGTCCTGCTTTGCTTTTCATTAATGGAGGATACAGTCCATCTTGACTTTTGAATTCTTGATGGTCTCGAAAGCTTCTAACTTTCCATCTCTGGAAGATTGGAAGACAATTTTACATGAGAGCCAGCCCATAGAAAAAGAAATAAACATTTGCATGTCTTTTTGGTGTAATGGCTATGGTTCTTCTGACAAGTTAGTGCAGGGACACACCTAACACTAAACGCTACACATGAAATCAAATCCAACTGTTGAATGATACATATGAAATCAAACTGAACTGTTGAACCAATTCAAAAGTGGTCAAAGCCATTTGGTTCTGAGCTAATTCTGCAACCACCTGATGTTTGCGAGTACTTAATATTATCCAATTTTGAAGCAATAGAAATAAAGAATGAAAGATAAATTATTAAATTTTAGGGTGGGGATTTATATTTAATATCAATACCTCAAATGATTGATTTAGTTCAATTTAATTACTAATAAGGGAGTTCAAAGCCCATTCTACATTGGGGATAGGAGATGGGTCTGCACATATTTTGTGATTTACCCTTATTTTGTAGTCACCACAAATATGCAGATCCCCATCCCCATCCTTCTTTCTTAAAATTACTAATGAGGAGGCCCATTTGCTCCCTCCTGGTGGAACTCATTGAAGTAGATCTTGTTCCAGTAATTTTTTTAGTTTTTCCACAACTATTGGTAGTAGATGAACTGGCACTTTTCATGCTTGAAAATATGAAGGGGAGATATTTTCCTTTAGTCTTAACTTTGCTTCATAGTTTTTTAAAATTCTAGTTTCTTCTTGACTTTGTTTACTAATTTTGTCAAATTTATGTTCAATATATCATTTCCTATTGGACCATGATTCTTTTCACAGTTTGCCATGATAATTGGTATACATCAAACTTATTTTTTAGTTCCATGTAGGCATCAAAATAGCCTAATATTTTTATCAGGGATCCGTCAAACTGATTCAATTGAACAAAGCTTTTCTTTAATCTTGGTTTTCTTAATTTCTTCCATAAATTTATGGGTGTCAACATCATGTCACTTCTTGTATCTAGATGCATGTCCAATAAAACATTATTGATGTTGTCTCATTTCTTTTTTCAATGAAAAGACATCCATACTTATTTCCATTTTGTTAAACCATTTCTATGTTTCTCTTGTTGAATTTACGCATACATTTAAAATGATTCATTTTGAAACACTTTTCATGTCTTTTTTTATATGCCGGATATTTTTGTTTTTCTCTTCGATGTTGGTATCCATAAAAAGTTCACATTATTCTGTCTTTTTTCTTTAGCATATATGTTTGTTTCCTCTACCAGATCTGTAATTTTTGTTGTATTAAATTTTCGAATCAATTTTTGTTGCTGAACAAATTCAACACATTGTTCTAGCACCAAATTTCCCAGTTGTAAATGCATTAGAGTCATTTGCTGATATTACTCATTTTGAAGGCCATTTACTAATTTCATTTGGATCAAATCCTCTTCAATTGACTGGTTTTCCACTTCCAGTTTCTCAAATTCACATTATTTAGCAGACTGTTTCAAATGAAGAACATATTTGATAACTGGTTCATTCACTTTTTGAGAAATGCTCATAAACTTAGCTCACTCTACATTCATTAGTTTTTTCTTGGTTGTTATATTTCTCACTACTAGTTGACTTATATTGTCAAATGTCATTTCCTCCAACTGTCTTGGATGTGTAATTGCTGATAATTTTATAATAGCCTCATAACCAACAGTTGCTAATAAGAGATCAGTTATTTGGTTTTCTCCAACTGATTTCAAATCCTTCAGCTTTTTTGTTTGAGCTTCAGCTGCTAGAATCCTGAGCTAGAATCCTTTTGGGTACTCATAATTATCCAATGATAATTGTTTGCTCGGTCTTTATATATTGGTGACACCATTGTAGTGTAGTGTTACTGACTTACAGAAAGTAGTATGCACTCAACTACCCATGGGTAATAGCTGTAGCTATTTCTAGTCTTTGTTAATTCCTCTGTAAATGAATCACCTCAGTAAATAAATGTGAACAATTTCAGTTATTATTTATGAGATAAGTTCTTTGCTTTCGAAATAGCATTTTCATATTGGTTGTTTTTATTACGTTACTTTATGAGGAAACATCAGATATTACCATTAGACATTTCTGAAAAAGTTTGAACTGAACACTTTATTTAATCTATGGAGGTAGTTTGTTCTCAATGTACTAGCTATGTCTAGAGATTTGTTGACATAGTAATTATGAGTTCAATCACTGGACCGTGCAGAGTGTACTTGGATTCAATGGAAACAAGTGGAGCAATAACTGAGCAGTACTAAATAAGAACAAGATGACATAGGAAGTAGAATGTGAACAATCTACTCTAGTAGCCAGTGGTGGACCTACATTTTGGTGACCTTGAAACTTGAACAGATATGACAGACTCTTTTTGCAAGCAGCAACAATAAATGTGAGGATCTAACTGCCAAAATGTAGGCTATGAATAGATTCTGGTGAGCTCAAAGAGCCTATATAGCTGGGGGTTCAGCTGCAGCAAGCTCCTAAGAAAATTTTGAAATTTGAACAATTACAGGGGAATTTTGAGACCATATGAAATGAGCATATTCTAAGACCAATATTAATTACTTCAACACATTGACTTATGATTGTATCACTAAAATGGCTTCATTTAATAATAAGCATTTAAAAAAAATCATTTATTTTGTTGAAAGATTTACTTATTAGAAAAAGTTGCTTTGGGGGCCCCTCTGGAATTAGGGCTTTATTAGTAGATTTGCCATGGCTCCTAGATGAAATAAAGGGTTCAATTCAAAATTTCTGGTAGATTACCCAGATCAGCAAGTACCTGATGAAGGCCAGAGAACACATCAACTGAAATGTGACAATAACAACAAAGATGAGGGTCAAAGTGTAAATAATGTAAATGATGAAATTAAGAAGTTAGCTTGCTGAAGAAAGAAAGGAAGAAGTCAGGTTGCTTGGATGAAACAAGTTCCATTGTTGTTGCTTTTAGATGTTATATTTACGTGTATGCAGATAGCTCTAAAAAGGAAGGATAAAACATTTACGTTCTGAGCTGTTTGAAAATGTTCACATTTGAATGTGTGCTCCATGTAATCATGTGAAATAGTCTAGTAATTAAAGTACTGGTTTGTGAATTTGGTAATATAGTAATTGTGAGTTCAATCAGTGAGATGGGTAGTGTGTATTTGAATTTAGTGGAAACAGCAGTAGCAGTAACTGAGAAGTACTAAATAAGAATGAGATATCCCTAGACATGGTCAGCAGAAGGAGAATAATCTACCTCTGTAGATTAAATAAAGGGATCAGTTCAAAATCCCTTGAATGTTACCTGGACTGAGAAGCACCTGATGAAGAGCAAAGAAAATGGCTGAAAAGTTATGATAATAACCACAAAAATGAGAACAATAGTCTGAATGTAAATAATTCTTATTTATTCTTGATGTACATGAATGTCCATGACATTGATTATCTTCAATATCTTTTTGATCTTCACAAAATCTCATGTCACTTGAAAAGCTATGGATATGACATACATTCTTCCCTAAAAACTATAGTTATTCTATAAAAATATTTGGTAGCTTTTTTGTCCAATTTCACTAAAACAAAAGATTGGTTGCTAGTCTGAATCTTATTGTATCAAGTCAAGATTGGCAAAAGGACTTACAGCTTTTTGTGGTTATTGCCTGAGCTGGTGTGGTAGTTTTGGCAGAATGATTTTGTAGCATTTCTAACACATCCACTTTCTGCCAATTATTGTGGCATACATGCCTCTGGTAAGACATTCAATCAGTATATATGGTGATGAGAGAGATTGCAGGAAAAAATAGATTCATGCTTTTCTCTATTAAGTTCAAAGTAGTCTTAGCTGAATTTTGAACTTGATTCAATGATTCTGTTCTAACAAGTAGGTAATCATTATGCTACTCCACATTTACATTAGATGGAATAATTCATAGACCAATAACAATACCAGAATATCAGAACTACACTTAAGGAAAATCAATTTCTTCCTAGATTAGTGGTTCTCAACCATTTTGCCAAATGCACCATTTTCACCATTAGTCAGAATGTCATTCAACCCATTTCAAGACTGTCCAACTCAAATAGTGTATTCCAAATAATGTGCATATATTTATTGAAAATCTTCATTCTTTTCAATATTAGTACATATACATTTACATGGATTATTTTTATACAGGAGTTTTACAAATTTAATATCAATAGAAAATAAACTGAAGCATACTTCAATAAACAAAAAAGTTGAATAGAATGCTAGAGAATAAACAAAATTTGGTAAAAAAAAACCAAGAAAACATAAAAGGTTCCCCCCCTCACCTGAAATTTCCCCCTGATTGGGAACTTCTTTCCTAGATTATTAAAAATAAAAATTATTCATTTCAGATTAAGGAAATAAAGAATGGATATCAAGTTGTAAATAATTATCATGATTTAATAACATGTACAGAATTTGTAGAATATTTTATTTGATAAAAGTGTTATATGATCATATTGTTCAGAAAGTAATTGATTTTCTTATATAATTTAAAATTGCATTTTAATATAAGTATCATCATAGCAATTATTTTCAGCATGAGAAATAGAGAAAAGAATTCATTTGGCTTACAGTATTTAATTGATTGCTTTGTTTTTTACAGCTTGTCAGCCTTTTTCAGGTTATTTAAATCCAGAAAATATTTCCAGATTGCAATAATTTTTTGAGATAATAATGATTTACTGATACAAGTCCTACTGATTAACCCATAGCTGGGGGAACAAGATGTGAATTCATACCTTTTCTAAGGGCAATTACATGTAAATGAATATAATGAACCTGATTGGAATTGGAATTTAGCTCTCTGATTTACAATTCTCAGCTGTTATCCATTACACCACCTGCACATTTAAGCTTACAGCACCTGGTAATCTGAAGCAGTCACACATCTAGATACTGACCAGGCTTGACATTGCTTAATTTCGGTGATCATATGAGAACCAGTGTTTCAACATGATATGGTCCTAAGTCTTGATATTCTTTATATGTAGCAATTCATATATCCATGCAATTTAGGTTTTAGAAAGACTTACATCATTTAATGATATTGGCATTAAAAAGAAATTGTTATATACCGTACCTATGAACACTAATGGGTATGTGCCAATCCTCATAAGTATGTTAGACACTATTACAAGTAGAGGTAATATGCTGTTTAAGTAGTCCACCACTAGCAGTAGTTTATCTATGTTATAGAAAAGCGTATGGTTGCAAGAAAGAAATACGACAACAGCAGAAATAGATTTACATGATTTATTTTAACAGGAACGTGTGGGTTTGGGACAGCTACCTTGTGGTATAGTTCATAAGCCGGCTTCCGATCTGGGTTGATCTCTCATAGTAGTTCTCACTGGTTGGCATGGCGCTCCTCCTACTGACTGCTGCTGACTGCTGCCAACCGCTCAGCCTGACTGTGACAGGTCTCCTCCCTGGCTTCCTGTTGACTGCTGCTGACTGCTGCCGACCACTCATCCTGACCATGACAGGTCTCTTCCCTGGCCTCCTGTTGACTGCCAGTACTTCCCCGTGTGACCCCTTTTATGGCATTTTTTATGGCTTAACAGGCTCGAAAAACGACGTGAGTATAATTAGGAGGGAAGCATTTTTATTGGTCGAAAAATAGAAACACTTTAAAATATTATTTTATTTTTTGACCGGGACTCGTGCGTTGGGCTTATGCGTAAACAACAATAATGGTCATTTTGTGACAGGGCCTTGTCCCATTCACATCCGACTCTCGCTCTTGAGTATGTTAGTTTGTTTGCCTGCAAATCAGCCGAGATATGTCTTATTTTATTTTATAACATCTACTTCACACCGCTGGCGAGTACTGTATTTTTTTGATGTTATAAAGATTAGCATTTCATTTCCAATTTTGATTATTCCTCATTTAGTAACCCTTTCTAGGTTACCACAGAAATTAAGAGTTGGAAATGTCAATTCTTCTAAATGTCTCCTCATAAAATTAGAAATTAAATAATCTTTGGAGGATACAAATCTTTATTATGGCTTTAAAAACAGATATTTTACAAGTGTACATTAATATATATTGTTTTTTAACCATTTCACCCAAAGTAAGGCAGTAAAGCTACTAAGGCACAAGGGGTTACTGATTGTGAAAGAATAAGAAAAAAAGAAAAACATTATTAAGGAGTGAGAACATTAAAAGAAGAGGAATCAAGAAGACAGTAGAAAATGAAGGTAGTGTAACACCATCAAATTGCCAGTTTGTTTTGGAAGTTATCAGTTTGTTTCCTTTGTTGAAGAAGGGTATTTTCTTGTGTTGGAAGGAGATATATATTTATATGATTTTTTTTAATCATTTCATCCCAAACAAGATAATAAAACCACTAAGATGCAAGGGGTTACTAATTGTGAAACTATATGAGAAAAGAAAAACATTACAGAGAGAACAATAAAAGAATAGGAATTAAGAAGATAACAATTGACATTGCATTTAAATTTTTGAAGATCAAAGCTAGAAAGCATGTAGCCAGAAGAGAGTTTCACAAGCAAGAAGTGCATGAGGAGAAACTGTTAGCATAGAACTTATGGTTCCATCTAACCAATTCAACTATAAATTGATGAGACCTTATTGCTAATCTAGTACTACACTTAAATGTATAAAGTTTAGGTACTGTAGCAGAAAGTTCATCAGAACAATTACCATGAAAGTATTTATAGAAAAGGCACAGGGAATCTACATTATGTCGGTGGGAAAGTGATATAAGCCAAGATACCATATCAGGACCAATAACATTGCAAATTTTTCTTTGGATTTTATCAATACAGATATATTAAAACAGAGTAAGGAAGAAGAGCAAAGATAAGCAAAAAAAAAAAAATAAACTTATTATTTACCATAAAGTGGTGTATCATAAAATATAAAATAAAGAAACACAAATTTACAAATTAGATTGTTCAATCAGGATCCACAGAACATATCAGATAATGCAGAGATATCAGTTGTCAAGTTAGTGTCTTTATTAGACAAACCTTCAATAGGAAGGCCATATATAACCTTAATATATGTCTAATCTGAACTCTTTATTCAAAAGAGCAAGAACAATCATTTCTATGGAAAGAGTCTTTAAGTGGACCAGTCATATTGTTAAGGGAGGAACAATATTAATAATAAATAGCAACATTATTAATATCATGATAATCTTCATTAATGTTTTCTTTTTCTCGTATTCTCTCACACTCAAACACCTTGTATCTTAGTGACTTTAATGCATACCTGAAGTGAAATGATTAACAAAGACATAAAACAATTATAACAATATACTGGAATAAAATTTATATGACCAAGAAGAACTTACCATAGATCTTAGTGAACTCAGCATGCAATTTTTTTTTATTTCTTTATGAAGTTAATATTTAAAGGAAGTGCTTTATGACTTCTCTTTGATACATCTGAATTGCCAGCATCAAGCCAGTAATGTAGACTCTGTGACTCCTTGCAGAAAAGTAACAAAAGGTCTTACATCCTGTCATTCTTACCTTGAAAGTATCCAGAACCAGGTTGGATTAGTCATATGGTCAAATTAGCTATCTGAATATCATAGGTCATGAGATTAAATTATACTTTAATAATTTGACAAAATACTTATGACTCACTTATTATGCTTATACCATGGTTTTTAAAGTTCCATAAACTTTCTTATCTTTTCTCATCTTTCAACACCACTTCTGCAATAAATATACTTTTTCTGATAGCAGTCATTTGCAGTTTCAATATGTCCTGTGAATGTTAAATTCTCCAAGTCCACTTTCTTCATTATGTGTTCTAGAAATTTCAACTGTCCCTCTCTGTAAGTATAAGTTTTCTTGTAGATACTATTTTTTTAATGCTTCCTTGCTGCTATTATTCTCAACATCCTTTTGTAGAACCACATCAGTGTCCCTTCATCTGTGAGGAAATTGTCCAACATTCACTGAGAGATATTATATACCAGTTCAGCACCCTTTTCTTTGTTTCTAATGACATTTTCCTATTTCTTAATACTTTGCTTAACTTATGAAAGGCATGAAGAGATTGTTCAATATTCACTTCCATATGAGATTAGATATTATATACCAGTTCATTACTCTTTTCTTTGTTTCTAACAACATTTTCTTATTTCTTAATACTTTGCTTAAGAATACCAGATGATGTAAGCTTGTATGTGCAGGTGGTGTAATGGATGAAGGCTTGGAATTGTTAATCAGAGAGCCGAGTTCCAATTCCAGTTGGATTCATTATATTCACTTATGCACAAATATTCTTGGAAAATGTATGAATCCACCTCTTCTCCCCCCACCCCCAGCTATGAGTTAATTAGTAAAATTTGTATCACTAAACCATTAATATTGCGATGAAAAAAAATTCTTACAATCTAAAAATATTTTCTGGCTTTAAATAATCTACAAAGGGTTGATAAGCCATAGAAAATGAATGAATGAATCAAGCAAACAAGAGAATATGTAAGAAGACCAGAAGGAGAAAGAAACAATGCAGGATACACCACAAAGACAGCAAAATTTGGTGGTGTGCATGTAATGGTGTAAGATTGCATCAAAAGCAATGTTAGAAAAAAATTGTTTAAAGCTGATGGAAACCTAAACAGCAAAAACTATATTAGTTTACTACAGCCTAATATTCTGCCAGATTATGAAGTTGGAGAAAATTTTAAGCCTGATGGTGCTGGTTGCCATACATCACATGCAACAAAAAGGTTTCTTGTGGTTGAAGTTGTTCAACTTTTGTAAGAATGGCTCGCACAAAGTCCTTCTCTCAATATAATTGAACCATTGTGGTAGGAACTGAAGAAACAAGTGTTCTAATGAAAACTGCAATTTCAAAGAGCTTTGGGATTACTGCCAAGAAGCATGGGAAATATTCCCAATTAGAAAATTTGAACTTTGTTCCATTCAATGCCACATCAAATTCAGGCAGTTATGTGAGCTAAAGGCAGCAACACTTAATTAGTAACTTCATACTTTGACATTTTGTACTGTCTACCCAGGTTTCTGTTGCTATCTGAGTATCAGGATTCTAAACATGTTATTTTCTGGAGGAAAAGTAGAAGCAGATCATCAGTTGAAATAACATTTATATATTCTTTTCAGAAATATACAACAACAATAAAATAATCATTTTTCCTTGCAGTTAAGTTTGTTTTGTGAAGTAATTAAGTGTTCTTAGGGTGGTGTGAAATATATGAACAGACTTACTTTATGATGGTCAGCCTAATGTGTTTGTGAGTTCATAGAAAAGGCTTAGTTGGCAGCTGCTGGTTATTCCGTTCTATTGTGTGCAGGAATAAGGCCTTAGTTGGTGGTTGTCATCTCTTCCATTGTGTGCATGTGTGGGACTGCATGTGTGTCTATGCATGTGTAGATCAAACTGACCTTCAAAATTGTTTTGAGCCTCGAGAAGCAGTTTGCTTCTATTTTTATATTTTGTTATATCCATAAGGGAGATCCAAAATCTAATTTCACATAGAGGTGTGAACTTTTTGAATACAAGGTTTTCATTAGTTAGAAAATAATTTCACACTGGCTCATAAAAAATGGTTAAAAAATAACATGTGGTATGTCTGTCTGCAAGTATTTTGGCATTATTTGCCCTTGTAATTGTTTATCAAACAAATGTTCTGATGGCATTTTATTGGTTGAAAAACATATATAGGATTTAATTCCTATAAAGATTATTTTTTACAAAAAATGAATTTTCATTTTTAATTTAAGAAAAAGGCTGAGAGGTAAAATTTGCACATTATATAGCCTTTTTCAGCATCACTATTCTTTTGTATGGCCTTTTTCAGCATCACTATTCTTAAGATGCTCTATTATTTACCATACAGCATTAACAAAAATACAGTAAATTGTTTACTGGCCCTCAAAGATTGTAAAATATACCGTGAAAAGCATACTGATAATCAATCGCAATTGGGGGGTAAAATTAACAAAAGTAACTTACCA